TACTGGTACAAAAACAGACACACAGATCAATGGAACAGAATTGAAAGCCCAGAAATAAAACCACACATATATGGACAGCTAATTTTTGACAAAGGAGCTAAGAACATACAATGGAGAAAGGAAAGTCTCTTCAATAAATGGTGTTGGGAAAACTGGACAGCCACATGCAAAAGAATGAAAGGGGACCATCTAATATCACCATTCACAAAAATTAACACAAAATGGATCAAAGACCTGAAGGTGAGACCTGAAACTATAAAACTCATAGAAGAAAATATAGGCAACACACTATTTGACATTGGTCATAAAAGAATCTTTTTGGATGACATGCCTACCCGGATTAGGGAAACTAAAGAAAAAATAAGCAAGTGGGACTTCATCAGATTAAAGAGCTTCTATAAGACAAACGAAACCAGAATCAAGATGAACAGACAACCCACCAGCTGGGAGAAAATATTTGCAAAACATATATCTGACAAGGGGTTAATCTCCATAATATATAAAGAACTCACACAACTGAACAACAAAAAAACGAACAACCCGATCAAAAAATGGGCAGAGGGAATGAACAGAAACGTCTCCAAAGAAGATATACAGATGGCCAATAGGCACATGAAAAGATGTTCAACATCACTAATCATCAGGGAAATGCAAACCAAAACAACACTAAGATATCACCTCACGCCCGTGAGAATGGCTATAATCACCAAGACAAAAAACAACAGATGTTGGAGAGGATGTGGAGAAACAGGAATCCTCATACACAGCTGGTGGGAATGCAAACTGGTGCAGCCTCTATGGAAAATGGTATGGAAATTCCTCAAAGAATTAAAAATAGAAATACCCTATGATCCAGCTATCCTACTACTGGGAATCTATCCAACGAACCTGAAATCAACGATCCAAAGAGGCTTATGCACCCCTATGTTCACTGCAGCATTATTCACTATAGCCAAGGAGTGGAAGCAACCCAAGCGTCCCCTGACTGATGAATGGATAATGAAGATGTGCTATATATATACAATGGAATACTACTCAGCCACAAAAAAAGACAAAATCGTCCCATTTGCAACAACATGGATCGGCCTGGAGGGTATTATGCTAAGTGAAATAAGCCAGAAAGAGAAAGACAAACACTGTATGATCTCACTTATATGTGGAATATAAATCAACACATGGACAGAGAAAACTGTGTTGTGGTTACCAGTGGCAATGGGGGTAGGGCGTGGGCACAAGGGGTGAAGGGAGACATATATAGTGATGGACAAACAAAAATGTGCAACCCTAAATTTCACAATGCTATAAACTATTAAAACATCAATAAAAAAACATAATAATCACCCTGTGGAATAGCTTCCTACATTTTTGTCAAAGGATTAAATAAACACATCTTGACTATACAGTTCCTTTCTTTGCACTTTCACTCTTCAGGAAAAAAGAGAGGGAAGATGCTTAATGAACATGAATTTAGAAGGCTCCCAACTTATGTGTCTAGTGAGAATGTGCCAACACACAGTATTCCACAGATTCTGAGAATTAACTGTACAGAAGCTACAGCAGAGTTTCAAAACAAAGGCCTTGGTGTTTCCTCTAATAGAGAAAAAGTTCTGCATGTGAAGAATATTAGTCTATAATAGAAGTACGACTAGTGGGTAATAATGTCAGAAGACTCAAAATTTCAATAATGCTAAATTTCTCTAAACATATTGGATAAAGGCAATACAATCTTTATTTCTAAGAGAAACAGATAACACAGAAAAGAAAAAAATAATAGATAGAGGTAGAAAAAAATAACCCTATACCTTGTGGGTAAGTGTTAAACCCTAAGCTTAGATCCTGCTCTCTGGAATTAAGGCATCTCAGAAATGAAGGTAAGAGATATCGTACTAAGTCTACTTTTGTTCTCATTAATCTTATTTTATTGGATCCTGAAAAATAGAGATAGGTGAAAAGTCAAGCTGGGGAGTTGAGCACTGTGCTCCAGCCTTTTAATTAACAAAAGACAGTCAGTGACTGTATAATGTAGAGACAATATACTTTGCTTTTGCTCTTAGCGTTGTTTTTAATGTGGAGTTACTTTGCTGCCTTGGAAAAATGGTAATATGATTAATATTCTTGATAAAACAACACAAAACCACATGCTTATTGTTAAATATATGAAGATTTCTGATAGATGCCGAAAACCTCCAAAGCAATACAAAGCAATAAATTATTAGGATGCCCCCCCACATTTAGCTCTGTGTCAGTAAGAAAACTGGTGAAAAAGTTGAGGCAACACAACTTTTAGATGAAAACAAGAAATTCATACATAATATGCCTCCATTATTAACAAATTAGTCATTTCCATTTTCTGTAATTGTGAACTTCTCAAGCTTTTTGGATTTGTGTCAAATTTGGGGGATATCAAATCATATAAAGAATATATTTACATCTCTACAAGTAGAAAATTATCAAGAAATAAGTTGGATTCTCTCACACATTCCATAGTTGGCTGTAAATCAAATGCATAAAAGGTTGCAATGTGATTATATGTCAAGTGTTAGTCTTCAGACATCATAATATCTAAGCAACCTGCCATTAGGAAATTGTTCTTCCATATTGCTGATGACACTGTGCTTGAGACAGATTGACTACTTTGTAATTAGAAAAGTCTACACATTAGAAAAAATTTTAATGACCCAGCAACTCTACTTCTAGTAGTATATCCAAGAGAAACGAAAACATATGTCCACATAAAAAAACTTGTACACAAATGTTCATGGCAGTATTATTCATAATAGCCCAAAGTGGAAAGAACAAATATGTCCATCAATTGATGAATGGATAAATAAAACTGTGTTATATGCATACAATGGAATATTTGGCCATAAAAAGGAATGAAGTACTGGCACCTGCTAAAACATGGACGAACCTTGAAAACACTATGCTAAGTGAAAGAAGCCAGTCACAAAAGACCACTTATTGTGTGATTCCATTTGCATGAAATATCCAGAACAGTCAACTAGGTAGAGACAGAAAATAGATTGGAGAGGGGATTAAAGGGTAATGGGGAGCGAATGCTAATGGGTACAGGGTTTTGGGTGTGTGTGTGTGTGTGTGAAAGTGTTCTAAAATGGATTGTAGTGATGATCACACAACTCTAAAAATACTACAAAACCATTGAATCATACACTTTAAGTGAATTATATCTCAATAAAGCTTTTAAAAAAGTTTAATAAGACAGAAATTGGACAATATCCTTTCTCACTACACTATGATTTAAAATTTAGTGAAACAGTTCAAAAAATGAACAAACGCTAGTTAAAAACTTATGGGAAAAATGTAGCCAATCCCGACAGACCTGTAGCAGACCTCCTCTTAAATCAATGGATATTTTTGGTATGGACTGTTCTGGGCCTGGACTGCCACTGTGTTTACACCATTTAGCTTCCAGATTGGCAGTAGCACAACACGGTCCTAGCAGAATTCGACTTCTTTCTTTGAGACTTGTTTTAAGGAGAAAATCATTTACACTGAGTAGAAATGATGACCCAAGAATTATGCCTGAAAAAAAGAAAAAAAGAAATGGAGAGGGGTATATAATTCTCCTTGTCAAAAAAGTATGTTTAGGCAAGAACTATCTATATTTTTTAGAAGCATTAATTCATCTCTTGTCAGTCTTTTTCAGTTGGCTTTTCCCCACAGTTTTATGCCATTTATATAGAATTCTAGTTATGAAGCAGGTATACCTCACTCACATTCCTAACAAAGCAATATTTGCCAAAACATTATGACTTTTTCCATGTGTGAGCATTTTAAGTTTTATGAGTAGAGACATTTTCATTAAATTGTGCAAGTTTTTCAAACAACTACATTAAGAATAAGAACAGCTGCTTCATTTGCCTATTGTTAACATGATGGGAAAGGGCAATTTTCTGTGATTTCTTCCAGTAACAGAGTATAGTATATTACTTTGCTAGACACTCAAGTTTTTGACTGGCTCATGTTAAAATTCAAAACAATCAAAATATATAACATGTGTTTTCTAAAAGTTTTAGTTTAATCCAAACTTCACACATCATAACCACTTGAAGTTTACAAAGTCTTAAAAACAGATAGTGGCAGCTTAGATTTATGAGAAAAACTATATGCTATAGTTCAAAGTAAATATACCCAGAAAAGGAATACACTTTAAAATGTAGGTTTTCTTTTGAACTTAAACTAGAAGTGCAGATCAAAACCTTTTCATAAAACCAATGGCGCACTTTAAGATATTTGGATGCAAAGTTAGAGTGGTGGGTTAACTTTCCCCCAAGGAACTCATATTCTGAATTGTCATTGTGAATATTGAATTTCACCAGACCACGTTTGTAATGCCCATGGCTTATTTTTCTAATGATATTTGATCCTTAAAAGAGATGAAAGATTAAAAAACACCTTAGGCCCACAGTATACATGTTTCAAAGTATAGTACCCACATTGACTTCTCAATTCTGTGGAGACTTGAAAACTTCATACATGTTGTATGTTCCTACTTCAAAAGTAAGATGCACAACTTCTAATCTTCCACAGAAGACATCATATGCCCAAAAGGGTTTGGGCTAAGACTTTTGTTAGAAATTATGATGGTGGAAATCAATTTCTTACATTTTTTCATCAAATATATTGTGGCACTAAGACTTCCATTTCACTTACACAATTTTCTTGCTTCAAAGCTACACTTCACTTAGACTAAAAAAAACCCCACAAAAACCAAAAAATAGAAACAGGCCCCAAAATGCCCAAGAATAAAAAAATCATGTTTATTAATGGAGTTTGGAACTTGTCATAACCTAACTGCATTACATTTTCTGAAATATTTACTTTTCATCAGTAAATATCTGCTAAATGAAACATACCAATACATTATTCAGAAATTGGTCATCACAGGATTATGAGTATAGCCTTAACTCAGTACAATCATTCAGCAAATTGGCATTAAAGGAATATCAGGATTACACTACCCTTTATTCTTAAGTATATGCATCTTCATACTACCCTATAATAAAATACCCAATTATCTGGTGGTAACCTTAATGTGAATATCCTATTGGTCCCTCATAAACAAAGGGTTTAATACCAAAGGCCTCCTAGGTTGCTTATCTTATTTAATGCTTATCATTATCTTCTTAGGCACCCAGAGTGAAAAGTCTGGAGGCCCTCTTTAGGGGCTCTTACTCTCTTGGATAGGTTTCCAAGATTCATCAATTTCTATACCATTCTATCCAACTCCATTATTTTAAAATATCAAAGAAGAGAGACCTTAGTAATCTAAGTGATTGAAAGGAAAGACTACATCATTTTCAAGCTCCAGGAGACTGTGATCATTCTGGAGGCAAGGACCATCTTCTTCAGTATAGTACTGAGCACAACAGTAGCCATTCAGGACACATCTCACTGAATTGAACTGACAATTTAGAATCTGACTCTATTTTCAGCTGTCTAAATATATTTATTAATTGACAGTATAGGATAGAAAATAGTTAAGAAAAGTGCTTAAATCTTTGCCATTCTTCATTTTGCATCACTATATCACAGAACAAGGCTGGATAGAAGAGACCTTAGAAGCCATCCCAACACCCCTTCCTCCAAAAAAATCAAAGAAAAATCTTTTTATTTCGAAATAACATTAGTCCTACCTAAAAGTTGCAAAAGTATACAGAGTTCCCATATACCCTTCACCCAGCTATGTAACCATAGTACAAATATGGAAATCAAGAAATTCACATTTATATAATACTGTTAAGTAATCTACAGATCTTATTTGCCATTTTCTCCACTACTGTCCTTTTTCTGGTCTAGGATCCAGCCTAGGATCCCCACTGAATTTAGTTATCAAGTCTCCTTAGTGTCCTTTAATCTGTGACAGATTCTCCAGCTTTCTTTGTCTTTCATGACCTTGATAATCTTGAATAGTCCAGGCCAATTATTTTGCAGAATGTCTCTAAATTTGGAGTTATCTGATGTTATCTCACCAGAATGAGGTTATGCATTTTTGGGAAGAATACCAGAGAAGTGATGCCCTTCTTAGTGCATCATATCGGGATAAGTGATATAAATGTTTTATTACTGGTAATATCAACTCTGATGACATGGCTTAAAGTGATGTCTGCCAGGTTTCGCCACCCTAAAGTTATTTTTCCATTTATAAATATCTTGCGGGGAGATATCTGGAGATTATGCAAGTATTCTATTTTACATCAAACTTTTACCCACTAACGTTAGCATCCATCAATGGTCTTGCCTGCAAAGATTATTACTGTGGTGTGTGATAATGCTGATTTCCCATTTCTCATATTAGTCTACATTTATTAATTAGTATTCTATGGTAAAAAGAGCTGTCTCTTCTACCCCCTTTATTAGTTCAATTTTTATTTATATCAGTATGGACTCACAGATATTTATTTTATTTTATTTTATTTTAATCCAATATTATCATTTTTTACATTGTTGCTTAAATTGAACCAGCTTTGGCCACCGAGAACCCCTTCAAATTGGTTCCTGTGTCCTTTTGATATATCCCCATCATTTTTTGAGAACATCTTTACTTTATGGCCACAAGATGTTTCATGTTTATCTTGTATTTTTCCCATCGCATCTCTGGCATCAGCCATGTCTCCAAAGAGCCTTGATTCTTTTGTTGAAGAATGGTATCTAGAAACCAACATCTGGGTGTTAGGTATGCTCATTGCTACTAGGGTGTCACTGCTTCTAGGCCCTCTCAGCAGAGAGGGCTAAAACATACATGTATGTATACTACTCATGTATACACACACATCTATATTTCTGTATCTATCCATCCATTTCCATATACATTTAATGTAAATACATTAAAAATCATGAATTCATACTGATACTTCTGGTTTTAATCCAACACCACAGGGTGGTTCCTAGCCTTCTCCCTTTCCTTATTTGTAATCTCTTCCTATGCTGCCACCTACCTCTTCTGATGTGTTGGTTTCTAATCATCCATTTGAAGCGAGTGGTGAAAATTAAAGCAAAAGAACTAAGACAGACATAAAGGACAACTTGGCAGAAGCAAAGGTAATTATCTATCAAAGAAAAGACTATCAACGGAAACAGCTGAGTCCCTGGAAGTCTTGTTAAGAATGGGCTTGACAACATTTTGTTTGGAGCATATAGATGAATGAGATTACTTTTCTCACTGTATAGTAACTTTCATTTATACGAAGATATTTGTAAGCACATGATAAAATCTTCTTTGTAGAAGTAACAATACATATAAAATTTGGATCTTACTAGATATTTCTACTATGCAGGAACTACTTCAAAATACTGATATTGTACTGTCTAAATTAGTTTATGAAGTTTTGCCTAAAAATGACTAGTACTGGAAGGACAAAATTTGCATCATTATACTTTATGAATAATCCTCAGAAGGTGCCTATCTCTTCTCAAAGAACTTAACTAGGGTTGACAGAAAGCTCTTCTTAATTCCCATAAGTTACACAATTTAAGTATTTATTGACTGGGGTGAGGAAGGATGTAAGAAAAAATTCTAGACTTGAATTATTACAAAATAATTAGACAATATATAGAAATGTTGATAGCTTTTGTGCCACTGTATACACTGTTAAACACATGAACATTTCCCTACTGTCATACAAATCCTATTCTTTTTTGTTTGGGTAGAGAATGGGATACCTAGAATTCTCAGGAGAGTAAGATAAAGATGGCGACTGAAACCTCTTGAAAATGGCCTAGAATTAGGAAGCCAAAGATCAGGCAAACATTTGGCAGCCTGAAACAAGAAGGGGAAAGAAAGTGGGCCAGACCCAGGTGAGCACTGGGGAGGGCAGGAGGCACAATGTGCTTGAGACATGACCTTGCAATTGTGGCAGGCGCTGACCCAGCATGGCTATGTTCCAGCAATAGCAGAATCTAATGACCAGTTTTCCAGGAAGTAGACTAGTAAGGCTGGGAACCTGCCATACTTTCTAGATTTTCATGTTGGATACTCCCTGGAGTTTGATTTGGTTCAGGAATGGGCATGAGATCCAATGAAAACCAATGAGGTACAATAAGAGGACCTTTCCTCTTGCTCCCTGGTTTTGAAGTTAAGAAAACGAAGGTGCTGGAGCTGCTGGCAGCCACCACGTGGAGACTGAGGCTAAAGCTGAGTAACACAGAAGGAAGATCTCACAGATTCTGCCATGGCTAAGGACAGCACTGGTCCCAAGCTTTTCACCTACATGAGTTAAACCAGTTTAGGTTGGATTTTCTGCCATTTATGACCCAAAGCACCCCAATTGATATACATTCTCTAACTAATGGGATTTCCAAGGGTAATCCTCAGTCTTCTATCTGCCCCCTGCCCCCAATCTCTACCTGTCCCCTGCTCCCAATCTCTTATCTCAGTGCACTTCTCTACTTTCATGGCTTCAAGGATAATTTTTAATGACAGTATCCATAACCACACCTAATTTCTTAACCAAGTGCTACTCCATACTTTTGTCTATAAGGAATTTGGATATTCTGGATCACCTCCAACTTGATATTTATGC